ACATGCACCAATGCCCAAAACCACTAGTGATGTAGAATATATATAGGAGAGAGGAATTTCTGTTGAAAGTAACTGAACTTTGAAAATGTTATTTTACTTAAAAGTTAATGTATTCCTTTTTTTCCCCTGTATTTACATCACAAGGGTTGGTTGGAAGGTCATCTAGATGTCTTAGAGTTTTCTTCTAGTTATCAAGACGTATCATGTTATAGTACTTTACCAAGGGATTCACCTCATAAAAATAAAGATAACAGTGGTAAGGTTTTCTTTTGTTTCATTTACGAGTTATTAATGCAATTATAAACTAGTGAAAGTGAAATTAATGGTATGAAATATATTTATATTATCTTTAAACTCTGGTGCATTTGTTTCATGTGTAAATTATTCAGTCCAGACAAGTGTTACAGTGTTGTAATCTAAGCAAACAATATTTTTTGCCACAGCCACATTTTTAGGGCACTCTGAATTCCCAGATTAATCTGTCTTCCTAGGATTCTCTTGATAACCTAAATAGGAAAGTCCTTTCAAGAAATAATGTGGTTAAACATATAAAGTCATTTCTTCTCCATTGTTTTTTAACAAGCTATGCAAGATTTTAGATTCGAAGATGAAAAAATGTTTCAAAACACGGAGATGTGTTCCCATAGCACCAGTCTGCAACTCCTTAAATCAGCTGTGTCTTCCTGAGATTGTGTGGCTACCCTCCATAACTGCAGCACAATCACAGGAAAATATACATTTGGGATAAGGAGTTGCAAACAGGTATTACATGGGTACTCCAAAGTGCCTTATTTAAAGGATTGATGGATCACCTTTTACCATTTCAAGTGCTTTAGAAAAAGGCCAGGATGGCAGTGATGAATCATGGAGGCAGAATGGGCAACAGAAGCTCTTTCTAAAATTCTGTCCTCACTTTAGTAACCTTGTCACTTTAGTAACAAGGTGGTACTTTCACAGGTTCAGGTACATAATTAAAGATAGACAAGTTACAAATGACCTCATATGCTGGAATTAAATGGTGATGTTTCTGCCTAGTAACAAATGTTACTAGCGTGCTTTGTAGGAAGTCCCAGATGCCTTTAATTAACATGTTCAGTTCAAAGAATCAGTAACAGATGTTAGGCATGATCATTTCTGAAGATCATGAGAGGTTTTCCTGTTCAAAATACTGAGAGATGGAGAAATAGTCTGATCTTGCATAAGACTGGCCCCTGTGTTCCATATAACTCCTGATACATAAGCGTGACATACATACATATATATAAATACACACACACGGTTGCATTCTATCACATAATGCTTTAAATTCTTGGCCAACGTGGTTTAAAACAGGGTTCTCACACATGTGGCCTGAGGGCCGCACGTGGATCCGAGTTCGTTTGTGCGGCCTGCAGTTGTTCAAAAACTTCCAGAGCTGCTGGAGCTCAAGTATTGGTGGCTAGGCAGAACAGCAGTGGCGGAGAGTACGGGCCTGCATAGGCACCCCATTGGGATTTGGGCTCCAACAGCACTGGAAACACATGCAGCCGCTATGGCTCAAAAACGTAGAGTGTTGCCAGAGCCCAAATCCTGCTGCCCCCTGTTGCTGTCATTTCTTGCCTCATGGATGGGTGCTGCACTGGCATGTGAGTGCGTGCAGGCACATGGAGGGAACATTGCTGCTGATGTCACCATTTGTCCTACTTGGTGCCAAGGGGTATGTAGAACAAGGTGAAGTGTGGGACAACAGGCTGGAAATTGCAGCCATGGCAACGTAATATTTTACTGTTTTACAGTATGCAACATATTTTTGTTCTTATTAACCACCAATAATGTCATTTTAATTTGTTTTAATTATAAATAATAATTTAATGTTTTTATAATTAATCTTAATATTTAATATTTGTTGCATTTTTCCATGTGTATGAATGCAGCCCACCAATTAGCACATTTTATGTAATGCGGCCCCCATATTCATTTGAATTTGAGACCCCTGGCTTAAAACCTTTTTCATTGTTTAGTAAATTATTATTTTATGTTCTTCCATCAATGCATATTGCATTTGACATAATAACATTACTAGAAAGAGAGTAATCCCCCTGAGAATTCTACAGTAGAATTCTTGTAGACAAGAGAAGCATAGCAAGAACGTGCATGTTTATGGCAGTATGAAAGCAGAGGAAGAGGAGTTTCTTAAAAAGCTATTTTACTACTAAAGTAAAATACTTCTACTACTAAAGATAAATTAGTATTGCAGTGTGTTTTTAATTACCAATGTTCGTGAGTATCAAGGCCCACATAGCTGACAAGACCAAGGAAGCAAAATCACATGGATTTCAAAAAGTATCTTTAATGCTAGTCTGGAGCAAAAATCAGAATCTTAAGAGAACAGATTTCCAGCCAGACCCATACTGAGTTAATTAAGACAAATCTTTCTGAAAAGCTTCTTCCTACGGCTCTCACATCTGGGTTATGTTGTCTCCTCTCACCTTTAAATACCGCTCCTCCTTTGTTCCTTCCCACAGTCCCACACACCACAAAAGGTATTTTAATATGCACTGGTTATATAGAAATGGTACATGTTACAGATTTTTATTCGATTGAAACCATAATGGAATTGATGCAGTGCTGTGAACTGTGACTACAAAAGTATAGGCACCTTGATTCTGAAATGGCCTATTTAGTTCTCTCTGCAGCCTGTTCTCTGTACAGACAAACTGATGACAGAGCTTCCTCTATTAAAATGGTTGGGAAATTGAATACAAAATTAGGGCAGTTGCTGGTGAGAAAGAGTCTTATGGTTCAAATAGTATTTGCTGTGTGGAAATTTCCCTGCTGTGGGGCACGCTATTCATGGAACATCCACCACCTGTTCGTTTTATAATCAATTATGAACTGGCTTTTTAAATGGCTCTATCAGTTTGTGATGCTCGCATTCTCATAGAAGGATTGGATAAATAGTAGCATTACTGAACCTGAGGTATCCTATGAAATGCAGTGATCCTACTTCATTCAGTATCCTGTTATTTCTCTGTATAAACAGGATGCAAGATTAAGGACAAAATTATTATAGCCAATTCCATGACAGACATTGTGATGAATAATATCTTCATGACCAAATATTTTGTAAAGCTTTATTTCCCTTTCACATTATTTGCCTATTTATTTTTCAGTTGATGTTCAAATAATGAATGTTTGTGGTGTTTTTATTTTGCAACCAGAGAATCCACACACATCAAGCGTCAGCTCATTTAAAGCTTTCTCTCCACAACCACCCAAGTTTTTCAAACCATTAATGCCAGTAAAAGAAGAAAACAAAAAGGCGTCTCTTGAAACTCGACCTCTGCTTAGCAAAGAGGTAAGTAGGAAGAAATTTAAGCAATATTAGACTTTATATGTGGATAGTAATTATTTTTACCTTGGAAGGAGCTCACAGCTTGTATTTTTGATATGAAGCATTTGGAATCCATATTAAACTTGTTCTGTTTATTTAAATGAGGTACTATTTCAGTGTCACCTCTCTTTGGTAAACATTCTTGCATGTATTATGTTTTTACTTAAACATGTTTGCACGTATAAATGTCTGTCCTGAGCCCTATGCATATCTGTAGCACTGTATTTGAAACTTAATATTTTTAAAGCCAAAACTCATTCTGCATGGATTTCTGTAATTAATTTAACTGCCATGCCTATATTATTTTAATAAGGAACCTTTTGTGTTGTACTAACATGCATGATTTAACGTCAGTATTTTCTTTGTGTGATGTTTTGTGTATCTTAACCTTTGCAGAGCATGCCATCATCTCAGGTATATAATGCTGGTTGTGTTGTGCTGTCAGGAAATAATGGCAATAGCATGCCAGTAGAACACAATAGCATACAAGAGGCAAAGACTGTAAGTGTTGCATTTGTTTCTGACTTAAAGCCTGGTGCCTATCATAAGCATTTATGTTGCAGTTATAAAAGGAAAACATGTGCATAGTGTTCTTTATTGCGTGGTGGTGGTGATGGAAGTAACAAAATCCATAATTTGTGATGATGCTTTAGACTGATCATTCATTTATAATATTTCAGTTTTAGAGAAGTGATACTCCCTTGGGTAGGATTTAAAGAAAAATATTATTTTTTCCATTTTTTTCTCCACTAGGACTGAAATCTGAAAAATTGGCACTGATTGTCAACTTTTACAATGTTCCAGAAGTTTTCATTTTTCATTTATAGAGTACTTAATTGAGAGTAACTTAATATACACATAACTTACCTTAGACTGAGCACAGTTAATATTAAAATCAAGTAACAGGAGGTTTTGCCATTCACTTGGGCATGTATGTATATGTATGTGCATGCATGGACCAACTCAGTAAAATATAAAAGGCAAAATGCAGATTTAACATGCATAACATGCTTTATAAATTGATTTAATAATAAATAAATAACAGGGTGACAGAAATAACACCTTGAGAATATTATATAGCAAGCCAAGGGACTCTACTGAATAAAGAAGGCTGTGATGCATGGGGCAGAGGAAGAAGTGAAAAGCCCTTCATGAAGAGGGTTCTTTCTCCCTTCTCCTCATCTTTGTTCAACAGGGCCTTGAACTTTTTGTAAAGTGTTCTTAGAATTTGAGAGGTTTCCCATGCTGTTTTTTGGTGAAAACCAACAGAAAACATGCAGTGAGCCTGTTTTAAGGCCTATCAACTCTAAACTTCCTTCCAGAATGCTTAAAAAAACAGCAACTAGAAAATTCTCACCCTGTCCATGTTTAGAAATCCTATTCCTGTCTTTCCAGTTATATTCCAGTATCTTAAACCACTACACTATATATGTGATTACTACATTTCCCATTACATTTATAAGCGTCCTACTACAGTGGGGCAAAAAAGTATTTAGTCAGCCCCCAATTGTGCAAGTTCTCCCACTTAAAAAGATGAGAGAGGCCTGTAATTTTCATCATAGGTATACCTCAACGATGAGAGACAAAATGGGGGAAAAAATCCAGAAAATCACATTGTCTGATTTTTAAAGAATTTATTTGCAAATCATGGTGGAAAATAAGTATTTGGTCACCTACAAACAAGCAAGATGTCTGGCTCTCATAGACCTGT